ATACAAAATAAGTCTACCACATACAAAATAAGTCTACTTCATACAAAATAAGTTTACTACATACCATATACAAAATAAGTCTACTACATACAAAACTAGAGATTGTCAACGAGTTGTGGCTTTACAAATTAACATGGTAAAATATGCAAAAGTTCTAATTTATTGATTATTTGTGTATTTAATATTACAAAAAAATTGTTGTTGTAATAAACAATTATTTAGGTTAGAATATTAAGTTTTTGGAGAAAATTGGTGGACATATACAATATTATATGTGAAAAAAATAGATTGTTCATGAATAAAAATTACAGCGTATGCATATGGATGATATCTTCCTTTGCACAAATTCGCAACTTGTATGTCTTTATAATTTATCAATATTCACTACGGTTCCCTACAAAAATGATTGGTCGTCTTTTTTTTGCATCAAATACGTTTGTAAAATAAATATATTGATCAGNCAAGTTGTANTNTATTTTGCTTCTATCGAGACATCTNCTTTATCTCAACAGAGATGTTGGAATGTATCTTTATATTTTATTTCGTTAGAATTTTAAATTATAAGGAAATAATAATTGATGTTTGACTGTATTTTTTTGTCTCACACTTTTTATTACTTTTTTACGATTTTTATCTTTCACATCGATTCATTTATGAATTATTATATTTCCCTGGATTCACAATTTGTGAAGGAGTAAAGTTTCCTTTCAAGAGTATTGGTTAGAAGATGATTGACAATTTTAGCATTCTAACAACCTTAAAATTCCTAAAATCAATAATTAATTTTTTCACACCATTTTTTTTGTTAATGTTACGATTCTTTTTACTAAAGATTTTTGTGACTTTTTTTTTAATAATCGTAGTTACCTATCTAAATTTTTAAATGTTTTTGTATACTATATTGATGGATTTAACAAATAATATATACATTTTTCAAACCATAAAAATTTTACAATAACACATTTAATTTGGAATTATAATTTTTGGTGGATATAAAAAAAAACTGAAATTGGTAATCATTGTGTTATACTTTAATTTTTGGAATTAATTTACACTAAATTTAGCTATTAAATTGTAAGAATTAATTGTTAAAGTTATTAAAAACACTTAATCTTTTTTATTTTCAATAAGTAAATAAAAAAGATAAATGTTAAAAGAATAGGTGACACATGGCATCATCTTATGATTTGGTTTAGAAAAACCTTAAAATATTATATAAGATAAGATCTGACCCATATCCAGTTTTATTTGTTTTTGCAGGAAAAAAAAACATGTAACCAAATTCCGATAAATACTTCATATATATTATAAAGGTAGACATTCAAAGTGTGTAAAAAAGAATTGTAAGTTTATATTGAATAATATATGTATGATGGTACACAAGTATTTGTAGCAGCATTATAGTATATAGTGCGTGAATACATACTCAATCGATTTTCTATATTTCTAGTATAGTCCAATTTTAAAAATCCTTTTCTCCTATCTATTCAAAATCTTTTTTTGAAAGGAAAAATATGAACTTGTTAATATGGTGTACGAATTGTGTAGAGTCCATATGTTTTTAACTCTATAGATTTGCAAGGACGTGTATGGGTATTTTGACATAAGTGTGGTAATAAATATCGTTGCCAAAGTCGTTTTAGATAACCAATATAAATTAAATCATTACATAACTAATAAACTACCAAAGCCTTAGCA